AACCCCTATGATTCTATGATTCTAAAAGGGCTTGGAGAAATTATTATGTAGTGTTTGGCTCTTGCCTTAATAACCGTTTTGATGCTTGGTCTTTTATTTGTAAGTGAGGGGCATTTCTAAAGATGCCAATCAACACGTGTACTTGTACCCATGTGTAAAATGCAGCACGCCTCACTGAGAACACTGACGCCTTAAAATTTCTTGGAAAAGGAGTTACACTGAGACCACTGAGGCTGGAGCCAGGGAACAGGGGGATAATTTCCATTGTTGCTGTGGAGGACCAGTTTGGATTTGGGCTTCTGGTTATGCCTGAAACAAATTCTGATGCTCTTGGGAGTCTAGAATTTTATGTAAACATCATCATCTGTATTACGTTTGACTGTGTATCAGGATGACTGAGACTTCTGGTTAGTTTTGTTGTAAGGTACGTTTTTAAAAAGTACAGATGGATGAGTAGTACTTCTGTGAATGAGGTAGATAAGAATGTTTCAACTCTGCTGGATTCCTGGGAGCTCTTTGGTGTGGAGCTGGAATCCAGAGAGAGATGGTGTTTTTTAAAACAAACAACAAAAAAAAAAACCCACAAACATTCCACTCCCCAACACACAAAAAAAACCTTGAAAACCCAGGGTTGATTGGTGTTGGGAACTGCATGAATTAGGACTAGGCAAGGCACTTGCTCCTTTTTCATAAGTGGGATGCAGACGTTCTTTGTCACACCTCAGATATGCCATAACTGCATTTCAGAAGCATTAACATTATTTAAGGGTATCTTTGTAACAGAACTGCCCTGGGGACTTGAGACTAGGTATATTTAAGGTACACCTATATTAGTTTGTGAGCTTTTTTTATTTTTCTTTGTGTGGTTTATTCTGTTTTCTTAAAATCAGGAGGGTGCCTTTGAGGTTAATTTCTCAACTTCTTCCACCTACCATGCTTTGGGTCAGATGAGAGTACCTTGTAGAGCACAAACTTTGATTCCTTTTGGTTGAAACTAGACTGAATTAAGTGTTCTGAGAAGCAACCAAATATGTTTGACGTGTTAATGGATATTAAGCCAATAAGACTAGAACTAGACCAGAGCAATCATTCTGACATGCATATGTTGCATGGACATCGGGTTCTCAGCAAAAAACTGTTTTGCTGTACAGCTCTGCTTCTATTGTACTGCAGTATTTGCTGATGCAGACACAGCCAGAGGGGAGGAGGGTGTTCTGCCCACAGCAAAGTAGCTTCCTCCTGCTCCTGTGCTCATGCTACAGCTCTCTGTGAAACCAGTGTGCATAGAGACACTGAAGGCTTGAGCACCATGGTCAGCAGGTGAGGTCTAGGTTCGAAAACAAGCTACAGAACCTTTTGTTGTCAGAAAGTGTTGACAATGTTTCCCCTATCATCACCATCCACCATCTTGATTACTTCATGTAACTGGAGATCTAAGTAGGACAGGTGATATCATTCAGGATGTAAGCATAAGCTCAAAATTCAAGCTGCTGTTGCCCCTTGGACATTGAAAAATACAATAATCAGTATCACATTGAATGTATGAATGCCAAGTTAACTCTTTCAATATTCTGGATATCAAAAGTGTGTTCCCATTGTGGGTGGATATATACCTGGCTGCAATAGCCAGGAGAACTTTTGTGGATGTCAGAAGAGCTGTGCTGTGCTTGGTGCATATAAAGGAGCATGATTTTATTTTTTTTTTTTTTTTGTGGGTGTGTGCTGATTCTGAAGATGGTAGCTTTGATTTGGACTATTGATTCTAAGAGCAAAGGGTTCAGATGTTTTAGGTCCTTTTTGCCACTGTCAGTGAAGTGATAAGATGTGCAGAAATTAGATTCAGATTTCTTAGGACAGCGCATGAGGTGCGTTTAAGCTTTGGGATATATGCAGCTTTCTTCCCAAGAAAACTTAGGTTTTTTTCGCAGTTGTTTCTTCAACTTTGCATTCTCTTCTTTTGCCAGCAGTGCTGGAGATCACTGCTTCTGACACCAACTGCTGCATCTTAGGAAGGAGTGTCTGTCTCCCTGGGTAACTAACATCATTCAAAGCAGTATCTGTATGTTTGAGGTGAAGTCTTTCTCCATTGCGTCCTCTGATGGACCAGTAGCGTGATACAGTTGCACATCACTACTGCCTCTTTAGGGGAGGTGTGCAGTGCTGCCAAAATGCAAGCAAGTGCGAATGATATGCTTGGCTACGTTGAGGTGGTTGTTCTAGTAGAAACTTTAGCAGAGTCAGAGAGATTAAGCCCTGGAAATACTGGAACTTTCATTACTGACAACAGTAATAAAAGCTGACTTAGTGACATTGGTGATTGACAGGCATGAGTTCTCTTGAAGCTCTGGTAGTTTTTTTGCTTGGCAGCTTCTGCCTGTGGCCCCTGGTTGGAGCTTGTGCTGGTCAGAATTGATGATATGAAGAAATAAGTAACTGGTCTTTAAGGGACTTCTCATCTACCAAGAAAATGTGCTCTTTTCTTATGGTCACAGAATCACAGAATGGAAGGGGTTGGAAGGGACCTCTGGAGATCATCTAGTCCAACCCCCCTGCTAAAGCATGTTCACCTAGAGCAGGTTGCCCAGGATTGTGTACAAATACCTATTGAAGATTTTCAGAAGGAGACTCCACAGTCTCTCTGGGCAGCCTGTTCCAGTGCTGTGTCACTGTCATGGTAAAGTGTTTGTTTCTTTTTTTTTTCCTTATGTTTAGATGGAACTTCCAGTTAGTGCCCGTTGCCCCTTCTTTCTCTAGGCACTGCTGAAAAGAGTCTGGCCTTAAATTTTGTTTGTAGCAGGTCCTTGCAGGAAGTTGTTTCAGGGCCTAACATGAAAGATGACAAATTCCCCAATTTTAATTGTTTCAAGGACCTGTCCAGATCTTCCTCTGCACTCTTGGATACTTAAGGGTGTTGTTACTGTCTGGGCGGTGCTCTCTCACTGAGGTCAAAATGAGACCTGCTGTGGCCACCATGTGTGTTTCCTGCCTTGCGAGTTATTGGAAGACAAAAAGTTGACAGATTTTCAGCCTCTGGTAGTGCCTCAGAATTCCTTTTGACTCATTCAGACGTTAATTAACCTGTGATAGTAGTGATTGCACAGAAGTCCAAGCTTGGCCTAGAGATAGGAAATGCCAAACTACTACTTGTGCTGAGCAGAGGACCGTGTTCACTAGCCTCTTTGCTTTTTCCTCTTGACTGGTTACTGGGACTTCTGTACTCACTGAGTATGAATTTATGGATGTTTTAGCCTCATTTACTACTTTTGTTCCTAAGTAACTCCAGAGAGAGCTTGCCTGACTTGCTTGAATTTCCTGTTGTTTCTGTAAATACTGTGGATGCCACATTCACATCATCTTCTTTCAAAACTCAACTCAGGGTCTAGTTTAGTTTGCTGCACTTCAGTGGCTTAAAGAAACCCAGCGTGTTCACCTTTCATCCTGTGTAGCTGGGATGGCATGAGACATCTGCTGTCACAGGCAGGTCTGGGTGCTTCTCCATGAGTTCTCCACCAGTGCTGAAGCTGCATCAGTAGCCCTCTAAGTAACTTAATCACTCTTAACGTCTTTCAAGTAGCCACCTGGAGCTTTAGCCACAGGTCTGACCTGGCTATCTGTGTTAGTCCAGCAGCTGTCTGCAGGAGGGGTGGTGGGACCCATCTCCTGGCAGAGGGTGACGTGTGGGGATTAGTGTGGTACTGCATGAATGTGTGACTGAGGTGTGGGCTTTTGTTCCAGCTGGTAGTGCAGTTACAGGCGTATAGCCCGTGTGAAGACTTGCTTTGTCTTTTCCTCACCTCTGGAGTCTTCTGATATGTGCTTGATGCTTTAGACTTGTGATTTGGGTTGTATTTAGGAATGGTGTGTGAAGGCAAAGCAAAGCCTGTGTTCTAAGAGGGGAAATGAGTGGTAGGGCGCACAAATACTTGCATATCTTTTCTGGGTGGACCATGTGTCTCTTCCAAACGTTAGAAATCCATGCTTTCCAGTTTCAGGCACTTCAGTAGTATTTCATATGTCTTTTAAGTGTGTGTATGTACATATGAGGCTGTTCTGTTGCATCTATTTTACAACTGCTGCTATTTTTAAACTGACTTTGTTACGTTATTACTGCTCAGCAGAATTTTAGTTTAAATCAGAGCATAGCTTTTTATCTATCTATCCCTATGGCAGATCAGCTGGGTTTTTTTTCATTCCTTTTAAGAATTGTTTTTTTTTTTTTAAAAAAAAGTGTTTTCTTGCAGTGGGAGATGGAAGAATGGGATATGCAGAAGAAGCTCCCTATGATGCGATTCATGTAGGAGCTGCAGCACCAGTTGTGCCCCAAGCAGTAAGCCTTTATGTTTTATGTGTGTGGTTCAGTAATCTCTTAGTGGTAAAGAATGTTTTTATGTACCTATATATGTAAAATACTTGGTAGACTTGCACTGCTGGGAGTATCAATGGGCAGTGTGATATTACTGTATGGTGAGATTTTTTTGTTTGCTTCTGTTATAACTGGGCTTCCTGTTGGTTTGCAAAAGCTGTCTGTTCTCATAACTCTGCTCTCTCCTCTAAATAAACAGATTTTTAAATTACTTGTGCACAATCCTCTATTACAACAGTGAACTGGAGCATTTTATTTAATAAGCTAAATTGGTTTTATCGAACAATGAATTGCAAAATTTAAGTATTTGTTTCCCAGGTTCCAAGGTGTTGAACTTGTTGGAAAAGTAACATGTTCAGCTGGGAACACAGACAGTGCCACATGGTTGTAGCTTTCGGAGTGGACATAGGGCAGCTCTTACTAGAGAAGCTGAAGAGTTAACTAGGGACTTTAGTACTAGTGTGCATACATGAAGTCCATTCTTGCAGATAAGACTTTTCTTTTTTTCCCTCTTCTTTTCATCAGGTAAATGGGAATATATAACACGATATTGATATGCTTGATGCCATTTCATTTTTTTAAATATGAATGTTGATGAGGGTTAGTAAAGGACAAGGCTTGAGATGCTATAGGCAGGTTGGATGTTTCCAGACATTGGCCGTTATTTGTAGTTTGTTTTGGTGTTTGTGTTTTTTTGTCGTCGTGGGTTTTTGTTTGTTTGTTTTGGGTTTTATTTTTATTTTGGAGTGGCTGGAGAGGGGGGGAATGTTCCCAGCAAAGTGTTTACAGATGACAAATAAAATGGTAATTTGAAGATTATTAGTGGATATTTGCGGTTCTTAATTGTAAGTTCTGTTAATAACAGGGATTACGTGTTTTTTTTTTCCCCACAGTGTCTGGGAAGTAGAGCATTTTCCTTAAGACTACTGTGATCAGTCTTGTTCGTTTAATTATGAAAACAAAAAAAAAATTCAAGCATTTTTCTCACAAGCTGTTATTTGTCATGTTACTCATGGTCATACAATTTAAACTAGTTTTGTAAAATGCTGTTCCATTCACAGAATGAAAGAGGAGCTGTTGGGCAGTAAGTGTATTGTAGGCAACTGAACGTTATTCCAAGAAGATAAATGGAAAAAAACCCACAAATCTCAAATTTTATTCTGAGGGCTTAAAGGGAGATCAATTACCAGAAAAATATTTGGTAATAGTCCTGTACAGATGCACTTTAAGTATCAAAGGTGGCAATTTAAAAAGATTGAATGTACTGTAAAAATGATTTGTGATATTCATATTTCTCTGCTCTTACATAGAAACTAAAATTGCAACCAACCCAGTTATTCCAAGTACTACTTTACCTGCTTTTGGAATTAGATGAATCGATTGTGAATGTTTCTGTAATACCAGTTGTTGTACCATGTTGTTGTGATACTCTGATCTTCAGTGCTTTTCAAATTTTTCCTAATTGAAGTAGTTATCTGCTGCATAATAGTAGATAGTAATGTAACAAACTTTGGATCCAGCTTCCCTGATGAGGCTGGTTACATTCTAATTTCTGTGTTGTGTTCTAGCTTATAGACCAGTTAAAACCTGGCGGAAGATTGATATTACCAGTTGGTCCTGCAGGGGGAAACCAGATGCTCGAGCAGTATGACAAACTAGAAGATGGCAGTGTCAAAATGAAGCCTCTGATGGGAGTGATATATGTGCCTTTAACAGATAAAGAGAAGCAGTGGTCCAGGTGGAAGTGATTTTCTGTTCCACTTACTTCTTCCACACACACGCAAGGTGAAAGGGTGTGAATTTTAAGCAGATAGACTGCAAGGCCTGCCTTTGCTGCTGTCATTGCTTTCTGTTCCTCCATTCCATGAAAAGCGACTCAGTCTGCATTACTGCATCACCAAAAGGAGGTTATGCTAAGTTTGAGTTAATTTTAAGGCAGAATAAAAATATTGCATGGGTTGCACTTTGTCTTTTTCAGACATGTTTACCTTAGTCTTTAGTGTGTTGAAGTTTATTATTTATTGTTTTAAACACAGTATTTTTTAAATTTAAACGTCCCTTCTAATAAACTTTTTATAATTAGCTTGCCAAGTAATTAAAGTGTAAAAATACTACTTAAGAATAAATATTGTTTTATCCTGGAAGACAGTGGGAATTAGGTGTTCTCTTTTTATTTTTCTAAGATGTCACAAATGAAGAGGAATGTTTGTAAAATCCATTGTGGGAAATACAGATAACCTTATAAGCGCTTTTCCCTCAGCCCCCAAGTAGTGGGAAGTGTAGAAAGTAATCCCTTCTTCCTAAAGTAAAAATGCAGTTGAGTAGCATTCAGAAGATCACCTCAGATGCGTTATTAAAAGTCTGTCATCTGTCTGTGATTGGGACATACTTGTGTTCACCATCACAGCCAGCTAGAGGCCTTGCTAGAGGTGCTAGACCTTCCACTGTGCGGCAGGGCCGGTACCGTGGGCATAGCACTGCTGTCAGCTGAAGCCCTGCCAGCCGCTGGCGTGCGAGCGGACAGAGCAGCAGTCCTGCTTTGCTTCCTGCCAGAAAATGTTTCTGAGTGGGCATTAATGAAGTGCTTCGATGGGTACTGAATTCTGAAAATAACTCTTGAGCTTTGTAACTCCTAAATTTAGATTTTAGCATTTGTTTTTTTTTTTTTCCCCCCTCGATAGTCTAAAGTATGGCTTGTGATTTGGATACATGAATACATAAGCGTTTAAGACATCAAAGTTTCCGTTAAAGGTACAAATAAAGCAGTTTGCATTACTGCTACTTACTGAGTCCTCATTTCAGTGTTCCTCAGATTACCGTATAGCCACCATGTACCAATTACTCTCAGCACAACTTTAATGTTACTGCTTAGTTCAGAGCTTATGAAGAGTTCTTCCTATCTGGATGTTTTGTATGTGTTACACAAATTAATGATTTGTGCTCAAATTATTGCCAGTATTCCCTCAGCCTGGTACTCAGATTTCCTGCCTCTTGTAAGGCTTTGGAAGCCTTGCTTTGTGGTCATTTTCCTTCTCTGGCAAATGCAATGGACTCCATTCAAGTTTGGAGTCCATGCTCTGCTTCCTTTAGAAAAGAGAAGTATTCTTCTTAAGCCTTTTTTTCCAAGAGGTTTTTTAGGTTTTTCTGCATTTCCATGTGATCCAATTATAGTAGAAGTTGTGATATTTGGTTTGGTGGGTTTTGTTTGTTTTTTATAGTAGCAATGTGTCTTCAGTAAACACTGTTTATAAGAAGGGTTTCTGGAATGTCAGTGGTTACCTTTTGCTGCTGGTGAAGGTGGTGTGATGTATTAAGGAGCAGAATTCTAAGGCCTTTGCATCTCTTCTGTGCAGTGTTGGGCTCAGTTTTCTCTGCTAGCTCAAGAAGGAGTAATAGATTGCCTTTGGCTCTTCTTCAGTAACGACTGTTGTAGGGTTCTTTCCCCCAGGTTTTCTTACCAGTTTCTGGTTGTGTTTTTTTTTTTTTTTTTCCCCTCTGTAATACTTACTGATTTTATTTATTTTTAATTTAAGTGCTAATATACATTGGTGTTCTCAGAAGAGGTATGTGCTTAGCCTGAAGGGTTACCTTGATTGCATTAGATACCTCAGTGGCATAGAGGCTCTTCCTTGCTACATACATTTTAATTTGCTTCAGACCTGGAAAACCCTGTTATAGGAAATCTCAGCAGTCTACTTCCTGTATTGTTTGCTTTTTCTTTAATTATCCTTTTTGTGATCTGAAGAAAATTCCCATTGCCTTCTCAAGGATAACTGCCAGTGCATTGCTGACCCTCCAGGAGGCTACATCTGTCGTTTGTTTGTTTGTTTGTTTGTTTTTCCATATAGGTGAGTCTGAATTGTATGGTCTGCCAGCCTGCTGCTAAGCAAACACCTAGTTAGAAGTCAGTATTTGTAACCTATGCTAGCATCAAAGATGAGAGAGGGTGTCTTTCTGCACTTTCTTTATTTTGATTTATCTTTCCTAAATTGTTGAAGACCTGTGAGCAGAGATCAGTTAGAGACTCCTTTGAAAGAGCATGTTTTAAGTCTTTCTGTAATAGAGTTATAGTGTATGAGAAACTCTAGTTGTTATAAATCTAAAATTCATTGAACAATCATCTTTTTATAGAGTAGCTCAAGAACCCTGTGTGTTTAGCTCATCATTCTCCTAGTTTACATTGTTAATGCAGTTTCATTCCTAATGCAGGCAACTGTTTCCTCAAGTTAAGAATTGGTGTTCCTTCACAAAATACAATTATTGATCAGCTAGCGGCATTTTCCTAGGCTAGCAGACCTTCCCCTTGGCAAGAAAGAAGCCACTTGAATTTTTGCTTAGCCACTCACATGTTGGAGGAGTTAGAACAGTTCCTTGCTAGGGCTGCAAGGTGTTCTATGCAAAGCAGCACAACAAGGACTTGATCTAGGTTACATTTAAAATTTATGTGTTCTGCAAAACTGCATGTGAGGTAACTGATGTAATAGGTTGCAGAGAAAATTCCTTTTCTGTGTCATTTCAACTTACTCTCTCAATTTGATGATTGATCATAGAAAATAATAAATACTTTGTAGCATTTTAAATCTAGAAAGGTACTGTTATAAGTCCAAATATTGTGCCTAGTTGCCTTTAAAATTACAGAGGGAGAAATAATTGGTTGCTGAAACGCTAACTAGATACTGAAATTCAGTGTAGCCTTATATGAAGTAGAGGCATCATTGTCAGTAATGACAGCATTTTTTTAATTGATGAATGATGTATCAAAAAGGGAAAGTCAAATGCTGCTTAATGATAAGAAAATTGATGTGGATCAAAAAGGGTAAGCTACAGATTTCAGATAAATTCATAAATGCTTGTTCAAATATTTAATTTGAATGCCTTCCACTAAAGAGGTGGAGACAGATCACAAAATTTCATGGCTTACCTGTATCCCAGACTTCTCTTATTTCTTAAGAAACAAGATTTGTGATTCCTCCCCAGATAATCTCTGATGTTGACCTGAAATACTACCTATTAGGGCTTTTTTTGAGATTGTTTCTTAGTTTGTTGCTGGATAATGCCAATAAGAAGTGTCAAATAGTCCTGTATATGTTTTCCCTACTAGTAAGCCAAAATTTTTCAAACTTTCTTAGATTTATTTTTAGAGTACTAGTTTGGAGCTAATGACTCCTGAAATTTGCTTTGACCTGAGCTTATAAAATTGCTTTGATGCCTCAGTTTGACAATATTAGACGAGTGATTCTCTTGCTAGAATTCCAAGGGCCTGAGAAGGACTATTGTGATCACATAAAACCTAAATACATATATTGCTCACCAAGCAGGGGCTAGTGAGCGCATTGGAAGGAGTGCCTACATGAAGGTGGAGGGGAATTCTGTGAGTTGTGTAGAAATCACAGCAAACAGTCATGGCCAGAAAAAGGGAGAAAATACAAATGAATTAGTACATCTTTCCTATGGCTCTAGAGGACAGCAGGATATTTTTAACCAGGAAACAGCAGTTGTTTTCTGCTTCTCCTTTTAAGCTTTGTAGCAGGCTCGATCCTTCACTGCTTGGAGAACAGGCAAGTGTCCTGGTTTTAGCAGTAGCTGAAACCTGGTAGATTCCATCCCTGGGCAGCTTGTGACGTGTGCAACTGAGGTTCAGTTCCACTGACACTTCTTTGCAGTATGTAGTGAAGTCTGCAAGCGGTTTGCACTAGGTGGACAGCTGAGAAGTGTTACCTACTGATGATCTAAGACTTTTCTAACTTATAATATGTGCAACCTAACAGTGCACATATAAGCTCAACTTCTCACAACAATAGAAACTAAATGCTGCATAATTTTAACACATTCATCACAGATTGCTTTGGGCTGGCATGCTGCTGTTAGATTAATGAGTAGTGAACAGCAAGTGAAAAACCTCTTGAAGGACTGATCCCCTTAAAGCAGTGAATGTTCTAGTAAACAGAATGTGATAGTGGCAGGTAGGATATGCATGATAACTTACAGGAATGTTATCGTGTAGTTAGGAATAGCTTAAAGCGATATAAAATGCCAGCAGGTCAAACACTGGTGAGCTATTGTCACTTATGTGAAGTCTAAGTACAAATACCATTTTGTGAAATTAAAACAAACAAACAAACAAACAAACAAAAAAAAAAAAAAAAAAAACAAAAAAAAAAAAAAAACCAAAAAACAAAACACACACAAACAAACAAAAACCAAAAAAACCAACCAACCAACCAAAACCCACAACCCCACTTCCAAGTATGTTAAGTATGTTAGCAACATTTTGCAAAAACCTTGCTGATGTCTGTGGCTGGGTAAAATGATCATATTTAATAGTTCCAGAGTAAATATGGAATTTTCTTAAAGTTACAATTTCTTCAGGCTCTAGCTTGGGTTTAAAGGATTATTTGTCACGGTAAAAGACCAGGCTTTCACAAAGCTATGAGAGTATATGGGAGGAATAGGGATGAAAATCACATCAGCGATTGGGCGTATGAGACTAAACCTGCCATGGCAGTAGTCATTACTTAGATATGCTTTTTGAAATTGTAAATATTAATTGATGATGCAGTTCCTGGAGGCATTAAGGATGAATGAAATACTGTCCTAAATTCACTGGCACTGCATTTTAAACTGAGTATCAAATGTTAATTTATTTTTATCTGTTTAAAGTAAGCAAATACCTGTTCTGTGAAATAGGCAAGTATGGAGAACTTCCAAACCTTTGGCTATAAATGGATTTTTCTTTATGGCTGCCAAGATGTGTTCTTCCCCCTTCTGCTTTTTGCTGCGTTACGTAATTCCTGCAACACTGAAGCTGTATGATTAGTACTTCACTATTAGAAGACATTGCAAAGTGCAAAGAATGCAAATATTTATCACTAACAAATCATAAGGTTTGCATCCCAGCTGCATTAGGTAGAGAATTAGTCATTTAAGTGCTAGTTGCAACAGCCTTTTCAGCGGCTTTTAAAATGTTTCGCATGCTGTCATTCCACGCTATATGACTCCTGAAGGCTAATGCCTTTGTAACTTTAAAGCTTTGGCTTGGTGCATGTAGCACTATATTTTTGTGGGTTAGTTTGCATGGTAGCTGAAATACTGTTGCGTATTGAGCCAGCAATCACATCAGTGAAGTTTTTTTTTCTTAATTCAGACAGTGTTTGCTGTGGCTAATGAGGATGATGCACCTACCAAAAGAAAAATTGAGCTTATGGATCGCTTGTGCCTTGAGGGAAAAAACCTTCTGTTTCAATTTTCCAACTTTCGTAACAGCTTAGCGCACAGCTTTCAGATTTGATGGACATTTAGTGCTAAAGTTAATGCTTTAGAAATACTGAAAGAAGTCATAATATGTGATAATTTCACTGTTGGAATATGGGTTCTATGGGTTTCCTGTTTCAGTGTGTTTTAAATGTCCTGCAGGAACAAAACCCTGCATTTTCTGGATTCCTAGTAGTGATTTATAGAGACTACCTGATGCCTCCTTTCTCCTACCTGAATCTCCTTTTCACACACCCTCACGCACGGCCACCCTTTCCATACCCTAGTCCTGGTTTAGCACCACTCCTTCAGGAGCTAATCGTGCTCCTCTGCGAAATAAATAAAATAGATGGTACAAACAGCACAACGCTGATGTGAGATTGTGTTCCCAGCTTTCTTGAGAGGCTGCAGCTGAAGCTAAACTTGCCTTTTTGGCAGCTACAGAGAATGTTTTTTGTCAATACTCTGTCTAGTAAGTTGGCTCAGTTTCTTGCCAGCATGTAGCCAACAGAGTTTGGATGACAGGTAGCTGAGTAACTAGCTGTGCAGTGCAGGGGAGGTTCATTAAAGCAAATGTTCCATTTAATGTGAAATAGAGTGGACCCATATTTCACAACGCATCACGTAATAGTACGAGATGTTGTGGGATTGCTGTTGTCTTTCCTTTTTTTTTTTTTCCTGCTCTTTAAATGCTTGAAGAGATTTCTGAGGTTTTGCTGATGCGCATGAGCACTTAAATGTAATCTGATTCAGTATCAAAACTTTTCAGATACGATTTCCAAGCGGAAGAGAAACATAACGGCATGTGTTTTCTTTCTACAGGGATGAATTGTAAAAGCTACATCATCTTGACCCAAACATAGTGTTACAGTGGACTGCTCATCTCCAGTTCTAAAAGCTTTTTGAAAACCAACAGCATTGCAGCTTATTTTGGACTTCGTTTTACTGTTGTTATCAGCATGGAAAAGCGTGATGTTTGTTTTATTTTTTTAGATGCTCAAGGCAAATCTGATAAAGAAATGGTGGAAAGTTTTATGTGGGCACTGTTTTATTTAACATGCCTTTATTTTACTTTCATCTGTTCAAAGTGAATTTCTGCAAAACTGCAGATAAAGACCTATAGCTTGTGAACTCTAATTTTGATGGAAGTACTTGAACACTCACTTCTCTCGGCTCCTGTGTCCCTTGGTAAAACTGCTTCTGTGCACCTTACGACACTACGTAGGTAATACCAGGTTTTAATGTGTTCTGATGTCTGCTAGATGCGACTAAAAGGAGATGAACTTCCTTTTTAAGCTTTTGACACGGTGTCATAGACTAGCATGTAGTAGATACAATCAGCTGCTTTGTTACCTTAAGCCCAGGCATTTGTCTGTATTAAACTTCAAGACATCAGAGGTGGGTGGCTGCTCTTATCAAACATTGCTGTTCAAGTTGGACATAACAGATGTGGTTTTCCCTTTCCTTCAAAAATTAATTGGTGGAGTCTTGAAATTCTCTTTTGGTTTACAGCTCACTACTGATGCAATGCACATGGATTTAACCCCGTCAATATGACATGAGCCGTGTCCCAAGCACTGAACAGTTTGTCATGCTGCTTTGCCAAATAAAGCTAAAAGCAGAGGGGGGTTCTGTGCTTATGTGAAAGATGAGGATCAGTATGTAGTAGGCTACTGAGATATGGACTGCTAGTTCTTTATTTAAAAAAAAAAAAAAAAAAATCAAACCAAAGCAGTTTGGTTCTAAAAGAAAGTTGCTCTTGGCAAAGCCATTTGCTGCATTAATATTCTCATTTTTCTAACTGTGGGCACCCAGGAAAAGTTCTGGCTTTTTAGAAAGGGAATTCTTAATTGCTATACAAGGACAACACAACACATGCAGAAGAAATAACAAATCCTGGATTCTTAAGTACAGATAAGATGCAGTTGTTCAGTTTTTCTATAGAAAAGTACTTGGAAGGCTATAAACCTTTTTTTCTGCCCCAGGTTTTCTGTTTTGCTACTGTAAAATGTCAGCAGAAAACTGTGGAGCAGTACAGTGAGGTGGGTTGCTTTGGGCAAGGGGTAAGTGTGTCTTGAGTCATTTGCTCAGATTTGAGCAACCAGGAATTAAAGTGAACAGCATGTTATCATTTTCTTCTCTTGTGGTAAAAAGGATTATAGAATAAAATAACTTGCATAAAAACAGTAATGATCACTGCAAAAATCTTTCTGATTTTTTGTGGTGGAACAGCAATAATTTTGTGGTAGGATTAATCCCTAAAAGCATAAAGGTTAAAATTCATAGGCCTCTGAATATGAAAGAGAGACATTTCAAATAACCATCCTTTTGAAGGGTGGCACCATCCTATTGCTGTATAAAAGATAGGTGTCACTTAACTTATTTAGATGCTTGAAAGTTAATGTACCACCTCCTGATTTGACTGCAGCCTGGGAGCACATACACAAGATTAATCTTATAAAGGAATTAATAGAGCGTGTATTCTAGGAAATACAATTCAGAAAAACCCACTTGCGTCTGACAAATTTGTACTAACCCACACTCAACTGTGAATCTAGTTCTTGGTGTTGAAGTGAAATATCTTAAATGATGCATGCTAATGTTCAACCTTTTGGTCACTGTATCATTCAATTTGAGTTCAGCTTTATTTACATCTTCTCACTAATTTAATCAGTTAAATGAAAGATAGGAAGTCAACTGTATCCAAACTTTTGTCTCTGGACACAGTGTAATAAGCTAGCCTAACTTGGAAGAGGTGATAAAGCTGAGACCCGGTGACAATTTTTGGGGAAGAACCACTTCAGGAGGTGTAAGACTTCAGGGACCAAGGCTGTTGGGGCTAGTGCACCCATTCCGCTGAAGGGGTTGGTGATGTTCAAGGTACTTGGACAGAAAAGGAGTATCCAGGAGTAGCATTTAGGAACTGGAACACAAAAACCCCTCCATGATGGAGCAATGGCTCTGAAGTAAAAGCTTCTTGGAGAAGAGGACAAGTTGAAATGCAGAAGATTTTAAGAGCTTGAATAAATGCTGTGTGAACTGTCTGAATTGCTACTTTGCCAAATAAAACAAATTGAGAGGAAGCTTGTACCTAGGTGTCCGCTTGGTTTTGTGGAGTGTTTTGGCTTTTTTTTTTTTTTTCCTTTAGCCTTCACAGGACTTCACATGTCCAAAGAGAAAGCAAGCAGGTATCAAAATACTGGTTTACTAAGTAACTAACCGTTTCCAGTTAGTGCACTGCAGAAGGTGCAGCAGTTACCAGCCTGGTAACACTACATGGAATACAAGCGGAGTTTTACTTGTGGCTGTTTGGAACTTGCTGTAGTTCACGTCTGTGTGTTTTGGGAGGCAGGCTGTGCACGCCGCAGGAGTTCCAACTGCCGCCCGTGGTTGAATCCAGCTAGCTTGGTGTCTGTGGTCTGCCACGTGGAAGCATCACAGTTTATCTTTCTGTAAGAGGTGCAGTGATGTTCCACGGGATTGTTATAATCATCTCTAAGCCAGAAGGACCCCAGAGAACAGAGTGGCTGAACCAGGGATAGTTACTCGTCTGGTTGTCTCAAGGGATCAGGCAGCAGGGGACTTCTGGAGTCTGGGCAGAGAACCAAGAGCCCACACCTGTATCATGAAAACCCACAACAGTTGTGGGTGCTGTGCAGAGCAGTTCTGTGTGCTGTATGGATGCTTCCTGTTTAGGTAGCAGGAACTGCCTGTTTATTCACAGTTTTCATTCAAACCAGCCAGCAACTTGAGGCCATAGAGAACATCACATGGTTTTTAAATTATTCTTTTTGTTGGGAAACGGAGGGTGTGCACCAGCGTTGCTGACTGAGGCCACCTGGATGATTCCTGGAATGTTTTGTAGTCAGCGAAATGGGCAACAATGCCTGGAGCAGAGTGTGGAGCAGGGGGGCTCTGCATGGTAGGCTCTGGAGCGTCCAGCTGGCAGCAGTTCTCTCTGCATGTGCAGCGGTTCTGTGACAAGCTCCAGGGTTTTCCAGCATGGGGTGACTGTGGAATTAACCATCAGCACAAAGAGGTAAACTAAAATGCCCAGAGGAAAACTCAAATTCCTGCCAGGAGGCAGAGCGTTCCCCTCTGGTTAGGGAAATGGGTGATTCAGAGTATCTGCCCAGGCTAATGCTGCCATCAGAGCTCTGGAGAAGCATCTCCTCTGGCTAGAGAGGCTTCTTCAGGAAAGTCCTCTCTTGAGCATGGAATTAGCCTTCAGGGCCCAGTTCCTCGTGGTCCCTGTTTCCCATTTTGCTGCCCACTTTTGAATCCTTCCCTGTCCTGCACCCATTCAAGTTTCCTGCTCCCTCTATATCTATGTTGTTCAGTCAATTTGAATTTAGATATCTTGAATGAGTCTCTTTTGTGCACTAGGAGCTGGCACTTGTGAAGAACTACATTAAAATTTCTTGCTCTGTCCTCCTGAGAATGGGATTAAACATTTCTGTTGGCTGAACAGCTGAGGACATCCTTGTGAGCTATGACTCTTGATCCTTCACAGCACCGAACCTTTCTGCCTTGTCTGTTGCTTCTCAGCCTGCTCAAAATACACTTTTTGTGGATGTATGAGTAGTTTAGACCTGTCAGCCAGGGGCCTTACGAAGGCAAAAATTAAAATTCTGGCAGGTATCTTTAAAAACTTGTTTCTGAACTGGCTTTTTGTGCTGACTCAGTCCTTCCAGGCTTCTCCAGTGCAGCGGGCAGTGTTCAACAGGTGTCTCTGTTGTATTACTTGTGTATTTGGAGCCTTACATTCTCATTTCTGGACCTGTTTGAAGTAATTATTTGTTGAAAGATATGTGGCAAAGGTAGTTGGACCCTTTTTTTACCCGTGTACAGCATGTTTTCCTTTTCTTACTCAGGTCAAGCCAATCGTTTCATGGCCTCTTTTCGTACTGTTACGTGTTTATTGCCTCTGGTCTTTACGCCCATCAGCTCTGAGCCTTTTCCAGCTGTTCCCTCTGCTCTTACTCTTCTAGCTTTTGCCATTAGAAACTGAAAAATCCTGATTCCTGATGCTCATGAAAGCAGCAGTGTAGATCTCAGCGATGCATGCCGGTGAATCCTGTTGGGGCTTACTAGAAAGGCTGTCTTTGTTTTGGGGTGGCGTGTTTGTGTTGCTATTGGTTCGTGCTGCTGACTCGCTCTGTGGAGTCTGGGATTGAAACTCTTACGCTTTAGCTAGGATTTAAAAAGCAAATGGAGCATCACACTGACCTATTTCAGCCTTTTTGTTGTGCAAATGTTCCTTTGGAACTGCCCTTGCTATAATCCTGCAGTGCTACCGAAAGGCTACAGTGGAGATGTTCCATCTAGGGTCCTTTGCAAAAGTGGGCAGCAAGCAAATCACGTTACAGAAAAAAACTGACCTCTTATTATGGATAAAACTCGGGTAAGTATTGCCTGTTACTTTGAAATAATTTGTACCCTTAAGTGTAGGTGAGTTGGTCTGAAGGGCAAAACAACTGGAAATAAAAAAAGTGAAATAACATCGTGATCAACATTAAAATACACTGACAAAACAAATTGTGATGACCTCTGCAAATACCTGGGGGAGCGATTGCTGCAGGGTACCCTATCACACCAGTGGGTTCCCCGCTTATCTGTCCAAAACACACGGTTAGTAAAAGCAGGGGGACTGAGCACGCTCCCAGCTTTGTGGATAGAGACATGTCACGGTTTAGGACGGGAAAAGCAGATCTGACAGACCTCAAATAGTGGTGACTTTCACACAGAATAGCTGACGGTATAGGTAGTGTGTAAAACTCCCTACCTTCTGAAGTTTGCCTGGGAAGCCATGGAAGCAGTTAGCCAGGCAGCCGTGAAGATGAGCTGGAAGCAGTGGCTTCTCAGTGTTCCTTTGTGATGAGAGAGTGAGCCCCAGCCCTGTAGGGGTTACAGCAGTGGTGTCGGCAGGAGGCAAGGGCTGGGAGCAGCCTGGGGAGAAGAGGTCAGCAAGGGTGTCTTGCCACAGCTCTTCCTGCTAGTGCTCAGACGTGCTCTGGCTCAGTAGTTCAGGATCACTTGAACAGTGTGAAAGCTATTAAATGAAAATACGTTACCGAGGCCAGCGTGTATAAACTGCAGGAGCTGCCAGGCCAGTCTGTCACTTTGCTGACTTTGTCTTGCTCTTCATCTAGCTGGCAAGGCCCAGGCTTTCTGGTAAGGTGCAAACTTTCACTTCAGTCCAGCTGTGGAGCTTGCAGTTACCTGAGAAGTAACAGGCCTGAGGCTGGTGGTTGGCACAGCAGCCACTGTCACCATCTCATCTCCCAGGAAGAACAGTCCCTGGGGAGAGTGTGACACCTCTAACACAGGGGTAGGCAGACTCCCCTGCCGTGCTTGCTGCTGCTGCTCCCGCTCCAGCTCTGCGTGGAGGAGCTCACTCCTGGCTGTCCTGTGCGAACCCCTGAGGGCCGATCCCAGCCGCAGCAGCGCGGCAACAGGGGGCAGCAGCTGCTGGTGGGCGCAGCCGCTGGGCAGCCCAGCCACTCCCCCCACGGCGGC